TTAACTATACGTTTGAGACTTGGACCGCGAACTCGTTGACCAGTTTAATATAAATAAATAAACCTGATGATTAGTGGTTACTGCTGATAACGGACATCAGCAATGTTAGAGGCATAGCTGAGCTTGCCCCGCAACTTTTCACTAAAAGTTGTTTCGAGGGAACTGGTACTATTTTGAGTGGTTAGTAACATTTTAACAATAGCAGGCGATCTAGTTCACACGGGAGTTCATAAGATTTTATTATAATTACGAAAAAAAAAGTTATTGTATAATTTAAATAGGTAATAAAACAACTAATTATATTTAACTAATGAATAAAATAAAAATAAAACATAATTAAAAATTTTTTGTGGCGAATTAAGGTCCTACAAGGAAACGTTATAATATGACCTCACCGCTTGCAATTACCGCATTCAGACGACGAATTTGAACATCTCTTACGACCGTCTATTTATAAACAGCACATTTGGCAGGTATATTGAATGATTTCAACTGGAGTGGAACGACTATATGACACTTTGGCTGCGCGTGTCGATCCCAACGATATTTATTGTTCAATAAGTATTCTAGGAGCCGATAGACGTATGTCAACGTAGAGTAATTAAATACGAATAATTATGTAACGACGTACTGAATTGTCCGGAGATAATTGCTGACGTCGAAACCAAAATATAATCTCTGTAAAAACCAATGTTGAATGGATACATTTTTAAAAGTTTTTTTTTCGAATGCATTTTTTTTCTCTTTTCCTACCTATGCTGATGGCCTTGAGAGGCTATTTCAGCTTCAACCTAGCGTGTAGGTGAGCTCACGGGGTTCAAACTAGGAGAGTTGCTAACACTGGCCCTAGCAAAAGCAGTGTTTCGCAGAATCTACGAACGGATCGGAAACGCGACCCACTGAGAAGATCCGGCAAAAAAATTCAGTGGGCTGTGTCTATGGGTTAATTCACTGGTCAGGCCCTTCGTCGCAAGCGACGGATTCGACGAGGACGGTGACCGGTACTTGTGGTGCCTAAAAGCACCGTTAATGGATCGGGACGAATGCATAGTTATTGATTGTAATTTTTAGATCAATAGCCGATCACTAGTTCGACGAGCGAACTAATCCATAGAATCTGTCAGTCTAGATTCTGATTCGGTGGTAGATTCACCGAAACACTGCTCTTGCTAGGGCCAGTGTTAGCCAATTCTCTCAGGTGAGCTCACCTACCCGTCCACGCGTAGCTGGAATAGCCTCTTAGGCTACCAGCGAATAGGTACGGAAATAAAGTTATACTTCACGAAATTTTTAAATTATCTTTAAAAAAAAGGTGAACGTAATATTTTTAAATCATGACATCACTAATTTTATGTGTTATGACAAAAAAATACAGAGTAGACACGCGAAAAGCTGTTAACATTTCGACGCATAGTAAAATCGATCGTAAATAGATATGTTAATTCCGTTTTTATGATATAATATAGGTACATATGTGAGAATATAAAAATATGAATTATAATATGTGACGTTTTCATGAAACAATATTTCATCGTTACAAACATGAAAATTCACAAGTTCAGTGATTTGTTTTGGATCTTGATCAGAAATAGAGGACATAGTAAAGCTTACTTTAAAATAAGCTTTGACACTATGCTATAGGTTCTAAGTAATAAAAAAAATACCGTTGAATTTATCCTTCACATTGAATAAATCAGATAAACACATATTTCGCAGCAAATGATAGAGACAAATAGAAGAAACCGGAGGAGGCCTCCAACCGTCGGGGGTCCAATATTCCAAAAAAAAAACGTATTAACTTAAATTAAAAGAAAAATAGAACTACTAGGAAACGAGATTAACATTTACATTTACTACATATGGTATTTATCGGAATTGGGAAATAAAGTATTTTTTTTTATTTACTTAATTTATTTATTTTATTTTTCAGAATATTACCTATGATCGGAAACTACTAGATAGATGTAGATTATACTAATATTATTTAATATATGACAGATCGTGAGTAGGACGTATTTTATGAAAATCCATACCGCTATATTATTATATTCTTCCTATTTCTATCTTAAATCACCTGTACCCGTTAAGTTAATATTTTAAAACAAGCGTTAAGCGGTAAACAGTGGCTTGAATGTGCACCTGTCATTGCTGAGGTCCAAGGGCCACGGCGACCACATATTACTTATTTTATCTCCATTCAGGTAGACCGTCGTCTCATTTGCTTAGCAACGTCAAAAAAGTACTATTGTATGTATGTTTAGTGCTATTTTAGAGATAGGTGGACGAGCGAATAGCCCATCTGACGTTAATTGGTTACATTACCTCACCTTAAGACATTCGTTAGTCTCACTGGTATAGCACAACGGCTGCTCTACCCTTCAAACTAGAAATCATTATTGTTTCACGACAGAAATAGAGCGGATGGGATAGTACCTATCCGTACTGGTTCACAAGAAGCTCTGCCAGTTAGTAGTATATAAAAAAGGTAGTGTTGTAGTATTTGGTAGTATTTGTTTGTTTTTTTTTTAGTTTATGGCCTGGTATCTAGACCTTTAGGCCATGTAGTATTTGGTAGTGCTTAAAAAAGTTGCTACATCACATAAAACAAATTTTTGTAGTAGTTTAGTATTTGGTAGTGCTTAAAAAGTTGCTACATCACAAAAAACTAGTATTGTAGTAGTTTAGTATTTGGTAGTGCTTAAAAAAGTTGCTACATCACATAAAACTATTATTATAGTAGTTTAGTGTTTGGTAGTGCTTAGAATTGTTGCCACATCACATGACACAAATTTTGAGTGTGAAGTTTGATTAAACTGGTCACATTTTATACAAATTCACCGTGGTGGTTTATTACGATTTGAAGGCAAAGCGAGGGTGATTTAAAATTTTATGGAAGACGAAAATACAACCGACATTGTCTTGCGCGTTTAGTTTTCATCGGCCGTCTTATTTATAATCGAAGTGTTGACAACTGCCGTTGAAATTGCCCGGGCCATTCTCGGTTCCTCCTATTACAGCAATTAGTTGAGTGAGATGTCCGCTTCTGCGTGGACGTTGGCTTTAATGCTTCTTGTGTTTTATGTTACCGGTTTTTTGTGTCGTTATTCTTAATTTTTATCTTTTGTTATTTAGTTTGTTTAAAATTTTATTGATACGGTGTCTCTTTTCAATATTGTGTCGATTCGTAACGAAATAGTCTGATGGTTTTTAATGCGCGTTCGATTTCCCGAAAATTNGAGTGAGATGTCCGCTTCTGCGTGGACGTTGGCTTTAATGCTTCTTGTGTTTTATGTTACCGGTTTTTTGTGTCGTTATTCTTAATTTTTATCTTTTGTTATTTAGTTTGTTTAAAATTTTATTGATACGGTGTCTCTTTTCAATATTGTGTCGATTCGTAACGAAATAGTCTGATGGTTTTTAATGCGCGTTCGATTTCCCGAAAATTCGGAAGTAATTAGTGTTTAGTGTTGGCAACTCTAATAGTTTTAAGGGAAAATGTATCTTATTGAAAACTGAACTTTGAAACTGAGCAGAGGTAATATTGATTGTCCATAAATTGGGTTTTAAATTTATAAATACGAATTCCAGTACCATCGTAGAATAGTTTAGGAAAATTGGTAATAATAATTCATTGAATATATTAAAACTGAGAAACTGAATAATAACGGGATTAGATAATAGTAATAATAGTGTTGGCAATTTTCAATGTCGATATTGGAAAAAATTCAAGCGTTTGTCGGAATTGGAGAAAAATTGATAAAATCAACTTGAAAATCCATTAAAATTTTAAATATCAAGTTAAAAGTTCGCCAAATATAAATTAATCTGGTCTACTTTGATCACAAAACGTATGATTTGTAATATTTTATAGAATATAACGACAGAAAGTTATTAAGTTAAGGGTTCCGAAATTCAAGGAAGAAATTTCGAATTCAACTCATAAAGTATCCAAAATCATTAAATTTTAAGTAATTTGGTGAAGAGTTTAAAGTAATAAAAGTTTAATAATAGATACAATTTTATGATTAGTAGGTACTCATTACCGTTTACCGAATGAGATCAGTCCTGGCAGAACGACTTATGGTAACCAAAATGTTATGACTTTTTATCTCTTGAAATATTTATACCCATTTATACGTAGGTACTTAGTGATGGTAGAGTGTATTCTCAATACACACGGGTGGGTATTATCACCCTACCTCCATGATTGTGCTTACTTAGTGTTAGTAGAGTGTATTCTCAATACGCACGGCTGGGTATTATCACCCTACCTCCATAATTGTGCGTACTTAGTGATGGTAGAGTGTATTCTCAATACACACGGGTGGGTATTATCACCCTACCTCCATGATTGTGCTTACTTAGTGTTAGTAGAGTGTATTCTCAATACGCACGGCTGGGTATTATCACCCTACCTCCATAATTTTGCGTACTTAGTGATGGTAGAGTGTATTTTCAATACGCACGGCTGGGTATTATCACCCTACCTCCATAATGGTGCGTACTTAGTGATGGTAGATTGTATTCTCAATACGCACGGCTGGGTATTATCACCCTACCTCCATAATTGTGCGTACTTAGTGATGGTAGAGTGTACTCTCAATAAGCACGGCTGGGTATTATCACCCACCTCCATAATGGTGCGTACTTAGTGATGGTAGAGTGTACTCTCAATAAGCACGGCTGGGTATTATCACCCTACCTCCATAATGGTGCGTACTTAGTGATGGTAGAGTGTATTCTCAATACGCACGGCTGGGTATTATCACCCTACCTCCATAATTGTGCGTACTTAGTGATGGTAGAGTGTACTCTCAATAAGCACGGCTGGGTATTATCACCCTACCTCCATAATTGTGCGTACTTAGTGATAGTAGAGTGTATTCTCAATACGCACGGCTGGGTATTATCATCCTACCTATTACTGCCGTGTAAAATATCTAGTAGTCAGAATTCTGTATTCTCGTTTGATATATTTTAATTTCGGATTTCGTTACCAGGTGTGTCGGCAAGTCAGTGCCCGCGGAGTAGCAGCGGATTCATTTTGTCACAATCGTTGGTGGAGAGGCTCGGACGAGATCACGAACAGCCGGGTCTACCTACCCTGCATCATCCCATCAGAGATGTAAGTGTAATGATTATGATTAATTTTATATTTTAACTAGCTGATCCGACAGACTTCGTAGTGCCTCACTCGATAAATAAAAGACGTAAAAGGAATCCGTCCGACAGGGGGACACAACAAAGGGAAAACAAAATTGTTATTTTCATTTAATTCCGAGCATTTTCATATTTATCTACCTTTTTAAACCTTCTCTGGACTTCGACATATAATTCAAGACCAAAATTAGCCAAATCGGTACAGCCGTTCTCGAGTTTTAGCGAGACTAACAAACAGCAATTCATTTTTATATAATATTATTATAGAGATTATTGATGAGCCACCATATAGATTGATTATAACAATAGAACTTTTTCTTTATTGCTTTATGTAAATGCGCCACCCACCTTGAGATATAAGTTCTAAGGTCTCAGTTTAGTTATAACGACTGCCCCACCCTTCAAACCGAAACGCATTACTGCTTCACGGCCGAAATAGGTGGGGCAGTGGTACCTACCCAAGCGGACTCACAAGAGGTCCTACCACCAGTAATTACGCAAATTATAATTTTGCGGGTTTGACTTTTATTACACGATGTTATTTATTCCTTCACCGTGGAAGTCAATCGTGAATATTTGTTAAGTACGTATTTCATTAGAAAAATTGGTACCCTGCGGGATTCGAACACCGGTGCATCACTAGATACGAATGCACCGGACGTCTTATCTTTGGGCCACGACGACTTCAAATAGTAAAGTAAAGAGTTAGTAAAGAGCTAATTTTTGGTTTTGTTTCTTCTTTAGAATTCGACATGCGAACGCAGTACGTATTCGCCGCTTCAGGCACTCAGCGAGAGTACTTGCCGGGACCACGGCGCGCAGCCGGCGCCTCCACCGCAACCGACCCTACCACGAGTTCAAGTATATAACATAATCTAGCCACGATAACTGTACAATAACCTCTTTGAATATTGTATCTATACTAATCTTATACCTTTAAACGAGCAATTCTTGTATATTAATATATATAATCTATAGATATATATAATCTGAATCTCAGAAACGGCTCCAACGATTGTCATAAAATTTAGTGTACAGGGGATTTCGGGGGCGATAAATCGATCTAGCTACGATTTATTTTCAGAAAATGTTGTTTTATTCGTGTTGTCAATAATCAACTCTTCCTGACATCTATTGGCGAATAATAATACTATTTTTCTTAATTGAGAGCAACTAACCAAGAAGGCGTTATAAAAAAAAAAACCGAGCAAAGCTCGGTCATCATCTGGTAATATTATAAAGCTGAAGAGTTTGTTTGTTTGAACGCGCTAATCTCAGGAACTACTGGTCCGATTTGAAAAATTCTTTCAATGTTAGATAACTCATTTATTGAGGAAGGATATATGGTATATAACATCACGGTAAGACCAATACAAGTGGAGCACCAATAAAGAATGTTTCAAAATAGGGGTTTAAATAGCTCCTTAACATTTTTTATTGCTTAGATGGCTGGACGAGCTAACCGCCCAACTGGTGTTAATCGTTTACTGGAGACCATAGATATCTACAACGTAAATGCGTCACCCAACTTGAGATATAAGTTTTAAGGTATAGTTACAACAGCTGCCCCTTCCTTCAAACCGAAACGCATTACTGCTACATGGCGGAAATAGGCAGGGTGGTGGTACCTACCCGTGCGGACTCACATGAGGTCCTACCACAAGTAACGTGAGGTCCTACGACCAGTAACTAGTATTAATAATTACATTCTCAATTAATAACCCTCTTAGAGTTCGTCGCAAAATGTGACGCTTCACCCGGCGGTGTCGCGATGCACGGCGACCCTCGAGCTGGCGGCTCTCTGGCGCAGCTTCCACGAGCTGGGCACAGAGATGATAGTCACGAAGGCCGGGAGGCGGATGTTCCCAGCGCTGCAGGCCAGGCTGGGGGGGCTACTGCCCAACGCCCAGTACCTACTGCTGGTCGACTTCGTGCCGCTGGATGATAAACGATATCGTTACGCTTTCCACAGGTTTGCATCATACACTACACGAATTTATAATTTTATTTATCCAGTGGCCATGTTAACACAAATACATAGGTTCACACGATCAATATTAACGTGAACTTTTTTCTTAATTTTCGAATTTCGACTATAGACCCTGAAAGCCTCAGAATCATTTATGTAATTTTTTTGAGAGAAAGAAGCTTGTGTTTCGAAAATATATATTATATTGGTAACATTAAAGCCAGTCAATAGTAATTGTGTTTAATCAGTAATTGACTATATACGACTAATTGTGTAATTGTGATAATAAAAACAATAAAAATACACAAGATCAAAGCGTAAGAGTAGTTATAATTATGTCTACAACTTGCGAATGAATATACAAATTACATCTATATATTTAGTATGTATTTTTTTGCCTATCTGTCAATAACCAATATGGGCTGTTCTGGCCTCACTTTGGTTGATGGGTGAACTTACGGGGCTTAATCCGAGAGAACTTTCTAACATCTGTTTTAATCGGAGCAGTGCTTTGCAGAATCTATCACTGGAACGGAATCACGACCCACTGAGAAGACCTCGCGAGAAACCGTGGGTTAGCTCGTATTTCTCAAGTATGCATGTGTAATCCGTAGCTCCAGCTGGGTGGTGGCGGGTAAAGCTGACCCGATATCTCCGCCCCGGTTCCACCTGCACCCGGACTCGCCGGCCCCAGGCTCGCATTGGATGCGCCAGCTCGTCTCCTTCGATAAACTCAAGCTCACCAACAACCAGCTCGACGACAACGGACATGTAATATTATAAAAATACAATTCGATTGGTGAAAGGCTATGGGCTTAAGCTACATTTCGCTTAATACGCGACATTTATCTTTGTAATTAAAGGTCCGTTTTATTTGGTACTAGACGTACTCGCCCGCTTCGCTGGGCTTTTAAAATTAACATTATTATTTATTGTCATTATTATTAGGGAGACCAACACTCATATAAATGTTAGCCTACCCATTAAGTACATGTATTTTCTACATGGATACCAAGTTTCAAGTCAATCGGATGCATGGTTCAGTAGTTATAACGGAACATCCGTATAAACCACTGTAGATTTATATATTAGTATAGATTAGCATCAACAGTTTGATGTTTTTAATTGAACTTTAGAACTGTAACTATACTTGAGACTTTCGAACTTATATCTCAAGGTGGGAGGCGCATTTATGTTGTAGATGTCTATGGGCTCCAGTAACCACTTAACACCAGGTGAGCTGTGAGCTCATCCACCCAACTAAGCTATAAAATAAAAGTTAGTTTAGCCCATTCAAATAGCTTAAAAAGTTTTTTTGTTACGATACTTTTTCAAAATTTTAAACTTTAAATGGCTCTCGGTAAAGTAGCAAAAATGTTGCTTATATCAAATATCCTTACACCCTTCGATATGTATATTCATTCATAAATATGTATGATAAAAAATCAAATGTGTGATGAAAATGATATCTGCAAGATTTAGAATTTTGTCGCGATTTTTGGTATTGTGGTCTCGCATGGGTACCTACCATCACTATCCCATCTATTTCTGCTGCAAAGCAGTCAAACGTTCCGATTTGAAGGGTAGGTTGGTTAGCCGTTGTACAACGCAATTGGGACATCGGCTACGTGTGTCAAGATCGGTGACGTTGTTCAGGTTGTGATATCTGTGGACTCTAATGTCGATATAACACTAAGAAATTAGAAAAAAACCGTCAGATTTACAGTAGAAACATTAACGCTTTCGCATAAACAAATCGATTTTAGTGAATCAATGGTTAAATCAAAAGCCATTTAAGCTTCCGAATTAACTTCCATATCAGTTGAAGCGACCAGAACCGAAACAACAATACTCCGTAACCTTTCAACATTTGTTGAACGACCAACGAACCAAAAAACTGAAGTAAAACAATCACGCTAATTAATTTTGTATGGCTTAAATTGTAATTATTTGGGCCTAGATTATCTTGAACTCTATGCACCGCTACCAGCCGCGTTTGCACGTGGTGTACCTCCCCGGCGAAGGCCAGGCCGCTACTCCGGGCACGGTGCCCTACAGGACCTTCGTGTTCCCGGAGACCGGCTTCACGGCGGTCACGGCCTACCAGAACCACAGGGTGAGAGCATCAGATGTACAAACGACAAACTGCAGTCGTTTGGGACTCAAAGCGCTTTTAGGGATAAAAACATAGGGAAGATTTTCAATCGAGCGGCCGAAATTGCCCGGTAGACCTAAGGTCTGAATGTTTTTTTTTTAAATTACTTAGTGGAGTGGACGAGCTCACAGCCCACCTGGTGTCAAGTTACTAGAGCCCATAGACATCTACGACGTAAATATGCCAGCCTCTTTGAGATATAAGATCTAAGATCTCAAGTATAATTACAACGGCTGCCCCACCCTTCAAACCGAAACGCATTACTGCTTCATGGCAGCAATAGGTAAGGTGGTGGTACCTACCCATGCGGACTCACAAAAGTTTCTACCACCAGTAAATCGTCATTGTCCGGAACTTGTATATAAACCAGCTTATCTTTAAAATTTCGTTAAAATCTTTTGAATTGATTGTGATGGCACCACGATCGCGTTTAATGGAGTTTAGTAGTAAATAATCAAGAACCGAAATTTGATGGTGCTTATTTCAGATAACCCAGCTCAAGATAGCCAGCAATCCGTTCGCAAAAGGTTTTAGAGATTGCGACCCCGACGACTGGTAAGTTCGATTGCACAGTTAAAAAAATAATTATAACACATCTAAATACTTCGTTACATGATTAACTTTTATGGATTTAAGTCAAATAAATATATATGTACAATAATTGAAAAAAAAAAAAGCTTTTTTTATAAATTTACTGTTTTGTCATCGGTCCTTGATACGTGTGTAACTTTGTAAGTTTTCTAATTGATTGGAGGTCTTGAAGTTTATTGAAAAGGTCGTTGACAGATTAAGTTAAATGAATAAGTTAAGTTACTTGGATACAAACATAGTTACTTATAGATAGATTCAAACATGTTATAAAAAAGTAGCACGCTTGTTATGTTTATAAAATAAGATTACGATGCTTATTAATTTACTTACTATGGCTTTTTGCTTAATTAAATTAACGTTAGGGCGATTTACAAGCTGATCCTAAATTATCTAAGAATACTGAGTTAATGATTATTAAATCTAAGTTTCCACTTATAATGTTTATCAGGAATATATACTTATAATGAAAGAAAAAATACTAGTGAAGTAAGTTAATACTAATAGGTATACGCACAAAAAATGACAATAATACTACAAAAGGGAAAATTAAGTAGTACATTTACTAAGTTTTATAGAAGTTATCTAGGGTTAAGATAGCCGTGTTCGTATATGTATGTGTCCTTGCTTCTGAATCGCAGCCGCACGGAATATCTTAAAAGATGCTGTTATATAAAATCAGCAAAATAACAACACTATAAAACTTACGATTTTTATAATTTAACCCGACTTAAATGACTCTTCTGTGATCCATATCTTTCAATACCGGGCACTTCAAAGGTAATTTAGTGGACATTTAAGAGGCGATTTATAACATTTTTTCCCTTCGGTCTCGGCGAAGGGAAACCGGTCGTGTCGCCCATAAACGTCAAACGTAACTCTTTACTGGTTGTGTAAAGCTACGCCGTAAAACTGAATTGTCACCGGCTGCTGAAATGGCGCTACGGGGGACGGATTTAGGACATTTGCAGCCAGGGGCGTGAGTCACCGTCGTGCATGAGTATCTGCTTACATATTTATAATATACTATCTAACCTAGCAGACTTCGTAGTGCCTCAATCGATAAATAAAAGACCTAAACTTTTGTATAAAATAAACTTAAAACAAACAAAAGGAATCCGTCCGACGGGGGACACATCAAAGGAAAAACAAAATTGTTATTTTTATTTAATTCCGAGCATTTTCATATTTATCTACCTTCTAAACCTTCTCTGAACTTCCACAAATAATTCAAGACCAAAATTAGCCAAATCGGTCCAGCCGCTCTCGAGTTTTAGTGAGACTAACGAACAACAACTCATTTTTATATATATAGATAGATTGTGTACGGTGTATCGTATTGTGAGCTATGCACAGGGATGTGACTCCATCTTAATTCAGCCATAAAGCGAAGGTCCGATTGGAAAGAATGAATTGAAATACCCTCCTGTATCTCAAGGTGGGTAATGGCATCTACAATCCGATGTCTATGGGCACTAGCTACTTGAACTCATATTCAAATTTAGGGCATTGAAGTTTCAAAGTATTGGTACAGGCCATCATGACCTACCGAGCTTTTGTTGATTGAAATTGGTTACAATGTAACGTCTTTTGGCAACTTCAGTAACCTTTAACTTTAACAATTGAACTTCCTAGTCATTCATATCCTGATTTTGGTTCAAGCATATCACGCATAGTTATTATTGGTACCACAAATAATACTGTGGAAGCTAGTCTGTGGTGCATCTAAGCTGCTCTCCACAGCAAATCATTACAGTTTCTCACTAAGCGCCATGTTTGCGTATATTCTTTCCCACTTTACGGAGTGGGAAGTCGCGATTTAATTCGTGCGACACCTATTGTCCTTTAATTAATTGCGTAGCTAGATTGGAGACAAATTAGCTTTTCCTCGCGTAATATGAAATCCGTTGTTCAGTTTTTTTGTATGCTAACTGCTGTAAATCCTGAATACAAAGGACATGCAGAGATGAAACTGGGTTTTAGGCAAAAATCCTGTATTGTTACATGATTACGAGTATAAACATAAAAATAATTATTTAAACAACTGTTAATATATTTTGTTTCTGTATTTCATATTAAGTAATCTTTTTTTTTTAATACAACTAGTGATACCGTCTTTTAAATCTGAATCCGGGCCAGTTTAAAACATTGTCACATGATTTACTGCAGTCAACTGCGAGTCGGAGCTTGCACCACAAAATGTGGCTTCGTTTACTCAATCGTAAAATTATCGATTGTCAATGATGCCCCCATCCGCATCGGAAATGATCAAACAAGTTTCTGATGACTACAGACACAGTTGTGTGATCAGAAAATAACAATTTTGACAGTAGGTAGGCAGCGGCTTGGCTCTGCCCCTGGCATTGCTGAAGTCCATGGGCGACGGTAACCACTCACCATCAGGTGGGCCGTATGCTCGTCTGCCTGCAAGGACAATAAAAATAAAAATAAAGTAAAGATCATGGATTCGTTTTTTTCCCCTACTTATTCGCCAGTAGCCGAAGAGGCTATTCCATCTACGCACGGACGGGTAGGTGAGCTCACGGGCACAACCTGAGAGAATTTGCTGACACAAGCCTAAGCAAGAGCAGTGCGTCGCAGAGTCTACCGCCGGATCGAAATCGCGACCCACCGAAAAGATCCGGCGAGAAACTCAGTAGGCTGTGTCTATGGATTAGTTCGCGCGTCGAACTCTTCGTCTTAATCGAAGAGTTCGACGAGGACGATGACCGGTGCTTGAGGGTCCTAAAAGCACCGACATATTGCTTCGGGCGACGACGGATTTGCTTTGCCCCGTCGCGATCGTATAAGAGATTAGTTTAAATTCGGTATTGGATAAAGCGTAGAGATTATTGTTCAATCACTTATACAATTTGATTTATTTAATAGAATTATATTTTTATCATTAGCCGACCTCAAAGAAAAAATAAATAGTCTTGATCGATTAAGTTGTGATCTATTGTAAATGAAATGTATTTCATGCTTCTCAAAGCTTATGAATAATTATATTCTGACTCCCATTTTTTCCTTTAATTCGTGTACTTAATTACAAGCAAATATTTTAACGCACGCACACAGAAATAAAACACCCTAATTTTTCTTATTAAAATTTATATTCCTATTTTCCTAGTTTCTGTGCACCATTGCGTCCTAAATAAACAGCTGTCACCCTACATAACTTCACTAGATGGAATTACGGAAATACGCTCCGAATCAATTTCTTTTAATACAGAAACACTAAAAATTAAAAGAACGCATTTGTTCACAACGTTCAAATCCTACTATGATCGTACTAAAACAATTAATTCAATAACAAACATTGAAAACTATTAAAAACGTGATCCACAACGACCGTAACTCGCTCAACGCATCATTAAGAAACCGAATTTTATATCTAACAACGCTTATTGTAAACAAACAGGCCGTGTATATTTCTTGTATGTATGTGCGAGTGTTTACAATATGATTGTTTAACAAGCGTTCCGGAGACTGCATTGGTTTTTTGAATCCCAATAAATCTTCTCAGAAGTACAGTGATTCGATTCTGTAATTTTTTTTGTTTGTTTCCAGTAGTTTTATTGAACCAATCGATGCTCTAGTGAGATCTAGTTGGTGAGGTTGCCGTGCTGTTGTATAATTGTATCTGTGAGATATCAAACCAATTTCCTAAACGCATTCGATAGCGGTAATTCTAAAATGTCGCTATCTCGCTCTTTATTCAACTTCCGTCTCGTCTTTTTCCTAAATGTTCGGCTAAGTGTGCGCTCATATTAAATAATACTTATTAATTAATTAAGTGTTTTAATCCATATATGAAAGTGGCGACGACGATGTGATCCGAACCCACGCGTGCAAAGCACCAATTTATTAATTAATTAAATGTTTTAATCCATACTAGAGGTCCCGCAGTAGTCGAAATTCGACTACAATTAATTGGAATTGTCAGCTTATACACTATTATGATTGTCTATACTAATATTATAAAGAGGAAAGATTTGTTTGTTTGTTTGTTTCGAATAGGCTCCGAAACTACTGGACCGATTTGAAAAATTCTTTTTCCATTAGAAGCCGACATTGTCCCTGATGAACATAGGCTACTTTTTTATTTTTTTTAATTTTTTTTTGGTTTCATGTGTGTTTTAATGTTTCCGAAGCGAAGCGAGGGCGGGTCGCTAGTATTTTATACTTCTATAATCACAAATTTCGCCAAGACTACACTATAAAAAATATTAACAAAGACAAACAATATTTAATCTATTCTCAATTTGACAACAGAGGCCAAGAACAAAAGTTTGACAATAAATAGTATGCATGCGTGTGTGCGTCAAATGGTATATAGTGTGTGTAATGTTTTCTTTATTGATTTAATGTATATTTTATGCATTATTTAAAAAAAATAGTAGCATTGTGCACTTCTTCTCTATATTCTCTATAAGTGTGCAAAATTTCATACTCCTCCCCGTCCGCGCAATTTTCGTAAAAAGGGATAGTTTATATATAGGATAGGATAGTTTTTGCTTCACGTATGAATTTAAAGATATCAAAGTATCAATTAATCGCTTTTTTGTTGTTTTCTTTGGCTTGTGTCAGTCCGAAACTTTGGGGACTTTTCGAATCAAATCGGTACATTTTGTTATTTTGGGATGAATGGTCCGCTATTGACCCGGAGGCCTTTCTAGGACGGATGATCTCGTGAGCTTAGCTGAGATAGGAGGGTGGGTGTGTATCACTGCTTTGTGACAGGCAGAGTAACAATTCGTGCTTTTGTTTCTTTTTATTGCTTAGATGGGTGGATGAGCTTACAGCCCACCTGATGTTAAGTGGTCACTGGATCCCATAGACATTTACAACGTAAATGCGCCACCCACCTTGAGATATAAGTTTTAAGGTCTCAGTATAGTTACAACGGCTGCCCCACCCTTGAAAATATCTAAAAAAAGTCCGCGACAGCATATGTCTATATGTTTAAGG